CAAGTTTATTATGCTTCAGTGTGACGCTAATATCATCTCTACGGCTTATTTATCTCACAATTCATCTAATATGACATTATAAACAATATTAATAAGATAGAAACATGATGCCGTTTTCTTGGACACAATAGTAGCGATGGTTGATTGGGGTTTACTATACAACCTGGCCAGCTTGGAGACACGTACTCCACTTTCATACTTAGCAATAATGTCTTTCTTCATCTCCATAGTAATTCTCACCCTTATTCCTGTAGGGTTGGCACTAGAAGCTTTCTTGGGGCCCATGATCACTTATTTTGCAGATGAAATCACCAAAAACGCTGTAATAATACGAAATGTTCCGATTGTATGCTTGGATGTTACCGCGGAGGCTGGCTTGTAAACAATGCCACCGGCGGAACATGTGAGGCTGGCTCAGGCTGCACATAGACGCGTCTCGGACGAATAGCATTGAGCAAGTTTTTTAGCACTATGTGAGGCAAAATTTTAGAGATAAAATGTATCGCTATGCGGATTTAACGTTATGTGATGCCAACATTATGCGAGGGTCTACTGTACGTACTTGGAACAATATAAAACCCTGAATGTGTCATTCCTCAGGCATGTCCCGACTTTTTGAATTAAACCATGTCTCAGTTATGGCAAATACATCAAAGTTACCTGCACTAGCAACTAGTCTCAACTCGTCCATCTTATTCCTAGCACTACGACTATTTGTGTAATATATATTTAAGGACCCTCCTTTCTCTTTACCCTTCCTGCTCCTTTCTGTTATTCCACTAAACCTATTACTGTCCTTGTCAATTAGTGCCACTGGCTTCCCAATATCCACCTCATTTTGCCTATTACTAGGAGAACTACTACTAGTACAGGTCTCCCTCAACATTCGTGAGGGTTAGGGGATCAAGAGCCTCGTGATTGTTGAAAAACCATCATGTGTTTACTCTTGAACACAGCAAAGAATCGAACATTTCTGCTATTGCTAATAATAACAATAGTAATAATAATAATAATAATAATAATAAATACGATATAATTGAAGAAGGAAATTGTACAAAAATACGAGGGAGTGGTTGACACATCGTCAGTGTGACTGTTTATGCTGGAGTGAACATTAGTCTCCCTGCTCTTCCAAACATTTCACAATAATTCAGCGGTTGAGGGAGTGGTATTTAATAACATGTACTATTATTATTTATAACATATATGTTATTAAATACCACTGCCTCAACCGCTGAATTATTGTGAAATGTTTGGAAGAGCAGGGAGACTAATGTTCACTCCAGCATAAACAGTCACACTGACGATGTGTCAACCACTCCCTCGTATTTTTGTACTATTTAATTCTTCAATTATATCATTTGTTGTTGTTTTTGTTTTTGTCGTTTTTTTTTTGTTTTGTTTTTGTTTTTGTTGTTGTTTTTGTTGTTTTTGTTTTTGTTGTTTTTGTTTTTGTTTTTGTTTTTGTTTTTGTTTTTTGTTTTTGTTAGCTGTAGCAGAAATGTTTAATTCTTTGCAGTGTTCGAGTAAACACATGATGTCACCGTCTAATACCTGTCCGAATAGCCATTCCAATATGCAGTCATGAATAGGTTTACATTATTTAGACTGTAGTTTAATAGCAAATAATGAACAAACAAAACACTCACCACACTGAGTGGTGGGAGGGCTGGCTGCCAGTTGCGGGGGTCGGTGCGAGGGTAGTAGGGACTCGCAGGTAGCGGGAAACTTAAATATGATTTGGCGGCTGGGAATTTGGTGGTTGGGAATTTGCGAATGTGTGAAGCCCGTGAAAGTTGAAAACGTGAATGTTGAGGGAGACCTGTACAGTGGTCCCTCGCTTTTCGTAGTTCTCGGCAATCGTAAATTTCGCCAATCATAGGGGTATTTTCGTATAAACATGGACTCGCTTTTCATAGGTTGACTCGCGAATAGTAGTTCATCCGGGACGCGTATGCACGGTGTGAGCCGGGGCGGCCTCCCTACCCAGCCAGTCTGGCATTGTTTACAAGTGAGTGAAGGTCCCCTCAAGTGCTCCTACGAAATATTTCATAATATTCCACTCATTTTAGTGCTTGCAAGTACTAAATAAGCTACCATGGCTCCAAAGAAAGCTCCTAGTGCCAAGCCTGTGGTAAAGGTGAGAAATATGCACAGTGACAGTCTTGGGCCATTTTAGGGAAGTGTTAAAGAGACGCCAGAAACGGAGCTCTCTCCACAGTTACTTTGCGAGACAGGACTAGAGTGACTCTCAAGGTGGTCCTAGTGGCATTAAGAAACAGAAGAGAAGCAACCCCAGAGAAGCAATTAGTACCTGAGGTGTTGCTGGAAGGGGATTCCCCTTCCAAACTGTAAACAATCCAATCTCTCTCCTCCTCCAGTCTCCTATACACTAAGAAGAATCTCCAATAAAGGTAAGTGTTACGCTGTTAATGTTTCATTCATCATTTCCCATTGTATTGTTTATGTACTACATGTATATTTCATGTAAAAAATTTTTTTGTTTTAATACTTTTGGGTGTCAGGAACGGATTAATTGTATTTACATTATTTCTTATGGGGAAAATTGATTTGCAAATCGTAAATTTCGTTTATAGTAATGGCTCCAGGAACGGGTTAATTACGAGAAACGAGGGACCACTGTACTCGTATTACTACACTGTGACTTCACTGTTTTCCCGCCAAAACCCACACCACTAACTATTCCTAGTTTAAAGACCTAACAGCTCCCTCCACTGCGTTGGCCAGTGCTCCCACCCCACACCTAGATAAGTGAACCCTATCCTTGGCATACATGTCATTTCTGCCATAGAAGAGGTCCCAGTTGTCAATGAATGTTACCACATTTTCCTTACAGTACTTGTCCAGCAAGCAATTGACACCAATTGCCCTGGACAACCATTCATTTCCAACTCCTCTCCTTGGCAAAATACCACATATGACAGGGTTCTCACCCTTCCTAATTATCTCTATTGCTGACCTATACCTGCTTCCACTCTACCACCACCACCTTTGTATTTTTCTACAAACTTTTTCATAAATTATGTGTGTTTCTCACATTCTTTACCAAAGGGCTGGCACTAGAAGCTTTCTTTGGAGCCATGGTAGCTTATTTGGCACTTGCAAGCACTAAAATCAATGGAATATTATGAAATATTTTGTTGGAGCATGTGAGGGGACCTTCGCTCACTGGTAAACAATGGCACACTGGCTGGGAAGGCAGGCCCAGGAGGCTCAGAGCATGAGTACGCGTCCTGGACGAAGGACGATTAGCGAGTTAATGGACCATTTGCGAGCCAATGTTTAGACGAAATAATGGGACTTCCCGAAATGGACGACTTTCAGGCCGGACGATTATTGAGGGACCACTGTATTTTCGTATAGTTTTTATGGTTATATTCTCATTTTTGTAGTCACATTTGATAGAATGGAGAACGTATTATTGAAATGGAGGTGATTTTGATTGGTTTTACTATGAAAAGGACCTTGAAATGTACCTCAAAGTAGGGGAAATGTTTGATTTTTGCCAATGTTCAAGAGTAAGCAAATGACGTCATTGGCCAATAAATGTTCGACTAGCCATTCTAATATGTAGTCATGAATGGGTTGACATTATTTACACAATAATTACAATATTGCAGTAGTCTGCATAACAGTAAATCTTCTATTTTTTGTTTGAATAAAAATTCAAAATAGAAAGCAAGAGTAATATCAGAGGGGGCCTGGAGATGTGACTGATGAATGAAGAAAATGTTAATTTAGAGCCAGGAATGTCTGCATTGTTCATTCTGGACCATATTTTGAAGTTGTCATAATTTTTTAATTTTCGTGAAATTGGCCAAAATGCCAATTTGACCACTTTACATGTATTGAGTAGTTGAAATTGGTAAGTGGGCAGTTTCTTGTACTCAATCGATAGAACAAATGGAGTTCTGAAGAAATAGTCAACTTTGGTCGACTGGAACAACGGAATTAACCGAAAATAGGGCTCAATGTGGGCAAAATCGCTAATTCGTAAACATTGTCGAGATTGCTAAATTTGCGAGAGCGTAATTCCGTAAGTTTTCCATCAAATTTCGTATTTTTGGTGTCATTACCATTGGGAAAATGTTCTCTATCATTTCATAAGAAGAAAGATTTTTTTTTCTCAAATATTTTGCGACACCAGGAGACGCCTCAGGATTTGGGGTTGCGACAGTCAAAGGGTTAAGTAATAATAATTATTATTACTTAATATAAGGCAGAGCTAAGACAGCAGTCTCAGTAGTTGAAGAATTAGACACTTGTTCAACATCTGGGTACCTTTATTTGTAGACTTTTCATCATCCAGTGGTTTATCAATACAAGGACATAATGCGAAGAATGTAGAACTGTGTTAATAACTAGGGGTAACTGCAGATACGTAGAACACTCCTTTTCATGTGCTTTTACAGATACTGTCAGTTGCTCTTAAAAAAAAAGTAATATGCTTGCCTCCCATTTTCCCTGAATATTTTGAAATTGGATGATAAATAATGAAAAAAATATTCAGGGCTACCTCTTTAAAAAATAAGTGTAAAAATGCATTTAAGTTTTGTAAAGGATAGTTTTCATTGCTCAATCATCCCATGAGGGTTAAGCTAAAATTTCAGAATCCCATTCATTCGAGAGCGTACTCGAACAAATATGTATGAACTACAATGTGTTTTATTATTATTTAATGTTGGTAATGTCTTATGTGTAATTTATCAATTAAACTTTATCATGGGTATGTATGTAAACAAAAAATGGCTTGTATATAGGATTTGCCACTATCTGCAGTTTTGGGCATCCATGGTAGGTCCTGGGACTTGTCACCCATGGGGGGGGGCTACTGTAAAAGGTAAATTTTTAAAAGGTGGGAGAATTTGCACTATGTATACAGCTACATGAAAGAGTATTTAGCATCAAAACTTTTTTTTATTTGTTGCATTTTCATGGGAACTAATGGATTAGATTAATGATTTTGTTGAAATTAACAGAGTCCACACTTCACCTGGTACTGCGTCTACGTGGTGGTGTCATTGAACCTTCATTGAAGCTTTTGGCAGAAAAATATAACTGCAACAAGATGATCTGCCGCAAATGCTATGCACGTCTCCATCCGAGGTAAATGTGTTTGTAAACATCCCAGTTAGAATTATTTAAAAGAAATAAAGCTAAGGCCACATTTTATTGCTCTGGATTTTAGTAATTATATGGTTAATGAATATATAACCTTAACATATTTTTTTCAGATAGCTCATAATTATTATAGTGGCTCAGACTAATAGGCACTGTTGAAGCAAGTAATAAAAAGTATGTTGAAATTAGTGTAAATAAAAGTTATAACTTGGAAAAAAAGTAGTCCTAAGCTCCAATCGTTTGAATTAACCCCTAAACGGTCCAAACGTATATACATGTTCTCTCGCCCAGTGCCCCCAAATGTCTTTAAAAAAAAAAAAAGTTTTTTCTTTTTATAGAAGTAGAGCATATTTTTCTAAGTGTTATAGGATAAAGAAAAAAAATTTAGGGTCAGTACTTACCAAGATGTGAGGCCACGAAATTGGCACTGGATGCTCACTTGATGGCAACATCGAGTCCTGCTACTTGCAGAAGTGTTGCTGATATGATTTTTTTCTCGGTTTTATTTTTTTTTTTTTTAACAAGTTGGCCATCTCCCTGAGGCAGGGTGACCCAAAAAGAAAGAAAGTACCCAAAAGAAAATACTTTAATCATCATTCAACACTTTCACCTCACTCGTACATAATCACTGTTTTTGCAGAGGTGCCCAGAACACAACAGTTTAGAAGCACATACGTATAAAGATACACAACATATCCCTCCAAACTGCCAATATCCCAACCCCCTCCTTTAAAGTGCAGGCATTGTGCTAATAATTACAATTTTTAGTAGTTCTTGTGATTTCCTAGCCAATCTTTGTTCTGACATTAATATTAGGTAATGAAATTGTACTCAAATTGTCACAAACACACTGACAGGTCAACATTTGCACCTGCCTTGGTCATTTACTATTGTCTAGGAATATATACAAAGTATTTATAGGTACCAGCAATGTTTTAGACATGTTGGAGTATATATGAAACTTATTGAAGTCTTGTGTTTATGATGAGTGCCGCTTATATGCTGACAGGGTACGCAGTGGAGTGACATTTGATGATAGTGTATAATAATAATAATAATAATAATATTATTATTATTAATGTTCCCTTGAAGCATGATGTAAGATGTGTGTTACTGTCTTATCACTATTGCTGACAGTGATGACATTTGATGAGCATGGTCTTATCACTCCATTAATGACAGTGGTGACATTTGATGAGTGAGCATACACTGCCTTTGCTTTATTTGTTTTCACTGTTGCACATAAACATGTCTGTCTGTGTGTGTGTGTCTGTATATCTGTGTGTCTTGTTCTTTCTGTCTGCTTCTCTCTCCTCTGAGTTGCTTATGAACTAGCCATGGTCACTGTCTACAAGCAGAATATAGCACTTTGTCTGGATTTTTTGGGTTATCCTAGGTAATTTACACTGTAATTGTATTTACGTTTGTGTTCTCATGAGATAGAGACAGATAGATAGACAGACAAATAGAGATAGAGACAGCCAATCAGCTGGCCGACCAGCCTGCCAAACACGTATTATACGTTTCAGAATTTTTTTTACTTAGGGCATAGGTTATAGGACGTTCTGGCAGGATGACTATCAGTGGTACCAAAATTGAAAGGGTATTGCACAAATGTTGTACATGGGTTTCAAAGTCTTTTATATTTCTGCTACTACTTTTGGCCACATCCACCTCAACACCACTAAACTTGGGGTCATCATCACTTTCCTCTTAAAAGGGTCGTGTTAATACGACATAACAACATCAGTGAATCCTTGGTGTTCACCACGGTTTGCTCTAGCTGGCACTCGATTTAACTGGTGCTCCCGCGCGGAACTAGAGTGATCCCAGATTTTTTTAATACTGCGCACACCGAGTGTTAAGACCCATTCTATGCCGACCTGGCATCTCGGGCCAATTGTGCCAAATTTGGAGGCAGAGAAAATAAAACGTATACACGTTTGGGGTGCTAGCAGTAAGAACGTATATGTATGTTTGGACTGTTTAGGGGTTAAAGAGCAATACCTGAATAATCAAAATGCCAAGTTGTCTGATTTATATTAGTAACAAAAATGTTAGAATTAAGAATGAAAAGTTAACTGTAATTTTTGCAAGTCTCAAGAAACCAAACGAGTGGCTTTGTTTTAACCAGCAATTGCATAAATACCGTTGTTACTGTTTTAGAAATTATTTCAGTTTCTTAACAGTATCTTACAATTACCATTGACAGTTATATCTTGAACACATTCTTGTTTCCCTGCTGGTGATAAATGGGAAAGACTTTGCTTTTATAATATCCGTAGTATGTAGATTTCTTAAACTATTTAATTTTTTTTTTTTTTTAATATTTTGTTTAACAGGCTTTTTGCAACTATCCCTGAGAGGGGGAAGATCCCTTTAAAATTTGTTTCATGAATCTTTCACATTTTCCTTCATTCTCTGTATAATATTCACAATGCTTTGGTCTCAGATGCATCACTTCTACTGCAACATTCAGAAACCACCCTTTAAGTAGGAGTGTCTTGATGCTGGTGAAGGGGTCTTGCTCACAGTAATTGAAGTTTAGTGTTATCCTGCCCTTCCTTGGCTCAGACCTGATTGTCTCCTTGCCACTAACTTTGCATTCCCTGGGTGCTGTATGATCCATAGAGGTTTGTCACTTGGCCATGCAAAAGTGCTACACTAATTATCTAAAGGTTTTTAAAACTATTTATAAACTTCTATCCATAGGCCCCTTAAAATGCTTATTGCACTTTTTTTTCAATTGTGTATCTAATTCGTGTTCCCTTTTATATAATGCCATCTGCTGACACATCCATCCCAAATATCTAAATTCTTTCCCTTCTGCGATGCACTCCAACCTCACTCTCCAACCTGATATTCTCTTGCATACTCTGACTTAAGTCTTGCTCTTTCAAACACTATACAGCTTAAAAAACCAAATACCTATTCCATGCATTTGGTGTACTTGTTCTCCATCTTGTGATCATTTTCCATATCCATAATTGTAACACTCTCTCTCTTTGACATTGCTAATTTAGATGCTTTAACCTTTTGACTGTTTTGGCTGTATATACATGTCTTAAGAGCCAGTGTTTCAAATGTATGTATACTCAAAAATTCTAGCGGCTTCAGATCATGCTGGAGAAAGCTGGTAGGCCCACATGTGAGAGAATGGGTCTGTGTTGTCAGTGTGCACTGTATAAAAAAAATCCTACAGCATGCAGTGCATAACGAGAAAGAGTGTTTTTGGATTAAAACGCCAACTTTGTGTATTTTCATATAGTATTTATGGATGTATTCTCATTTTCTTGGTCTCATTTGATAGAATAGAAAACATATTACAGAAGTAGAGATGATTTTGATTAGTTTCACAATGAAAATGACCTTGAAATTGAGCTCAAAGTAGCAGAAATGTTCGATTTTTGCAAATGTTCGAGTCGGGAAATCACACCACGCGTCCAGTACACGTTAACTGGCGAGTCTAATATTCTTTTACAAGTGCACTGATATTACTTAATCCATTTTTACAATAATGCAATAGTCTGCATAACAGTAAATCTTCTGTTTTTTGTGTGAATAAAAAATCAAAATAGAAAGCAAGAGTGATTAAAGAGGGGCCTGGAGATGTGACTAATGAACAGAGGAAATGTTATATTAGTGCCAGGAATGTCTGCATTGTTTATTTTGGACCCAATTTTGAAATTTGCATCTATTTGAATTTGCGTGAAATTGGCCAAATTGCCAATTTCTGACCACTTTATTGGGTAGTTGAAATTGGTAAATGGGTGGTTTCTTGTACTCGATCGATAGAACAAATGGAGTTCTAGAGAAATAACTACGAGTTTTGCCTACTGGAACAATGGAATTGGCTGAAAATAGGGCTCTTAAGTTGGTGAAATCGCCAATGTGTAACTCGCCGAGATCACTAACTTTGCGAGAGCGTAATTCTGTAAGTTTTCCATCAAATTTCATATTTTTGGTGTCATTAACATCCGGAAAAGATTCCCCCCAAAATTTTGCGACATAGAATAACAGTTTCAGAAATGGGCTTGTGACAGTCAAAGGGTTAATGCACATACTTGAAATATCCTTTCCATCTACAGTACTCCATAATTTTATTGTATGCTTTACCCAGTATGCTCGACAGCCTTATTTTCATGTAATTTTGCACTTTAGTCTTTTGTAATTTAGGCAGGAATGCCATGCTCTCACACCTTTGGTACCTTTTTTTTTATACTCATTCTTTGGAAATCTTCCTTTTTGATACTCGTGTTAAATGTACTAACTATTCCATAACTAAATCCCCACCTAATTTCAGCCTGTTGTGATTCCATTTTGTCCTTGCTCCTTACCTCCTTTCAGTCTACTTGTATCCTCTACAAATCTCTGGCCCCTCAAGGGAGGTTCCTTGCTGGTGAGGGGCTCTTAATCCAATCAGTTATATCTGATCTTGCCATGAATCAACCTGAGTGCTTCTTAAACCTCTAAAAAAAAGTGTTGTGTAACTCTTATGAGTTTAGTGCTCTCTACCTCCAATGAATAATAGAATAGTCCTTTTCCCTCCATTCCCCATGCATGAAATCACTATCTCCCTTTCATCAGTCTGGCATCACTTCAAAATATTCTTCAGTATTGCTCCATTTTTCAAATGGCACTCTCTCCAATTTCATTCTCATAACTTCGCAAAATTTGTTGAAGACTTTCCCGTTCTCTCATTTGCTATTCCTCACCTTATTTCCATATACAGTGGTACCTCGGCATACGAACAGCTTGTTATGTAAGTGTATTTTTGGGAGTCAGAAACAGATTAATCTAATTTACATTATTCCTTATGGGAACAAATTCGTTTGGTATCAGCACTCGAACAGCCTTCTGGAATGAATTAAGTTCGTATTCCGAGGTACCACTGTACACTGGTACCTTGACTTTCGAACAACTCCCAACTCGAACAGTTATGTAAGTGTATTTCTTTAAGTGTATTTTTGGGGGTCTGAAATGAACTTAATTTAATTTACATTGTTCTTTATGGAGATAGATTCGTTTGGTATCGGCACTCGAACAGCCTTCTGGAATGAATTAAGTTCGTAACTTGAGGTACCAGTGTACTCCAAAATTAGATATTTTAAGGACTGCCAATTTTTTTTAATAAATATGCCACATGGCCACTTTCTTTACATGATGATACACTGGAAGGCTCCCTCAACTGAGGTGTTTACCCGACACAAGACTTTGCTGTAAAACTTACCTGATACAGATATTTGTTTTTTAAAGCTTTTATCTCTTGGACGCTGTATATCTTAATTGTGTGTAATTTCAGAGCCACAAATTGCCGCAAGAAGAAGTGTGGGCACACCTCTAATATTCGACCCAAGAAGAAGATAAAGAGTTAAATGAGGTGGATAGAATATTCCTGAGGTATGGATAATTGTGATAATTATCTTCAAATAAACCATATACAATAATATTGTTTTGAAATGTCCTGTTTATTCTGTTCACCTTTTAACTGTCTGACCTAGTAGTACATTTGTACTATATGCAATTGATGTTAATGTTTTTTTTTTTTTTTTTTCCAACAAGTCGGCCATCTCCCACCGAGGCAGGGTGACCCAAAGAGAAAGAAAATCCCCAAAAAGAAAATACTTTCATCATTCAACACTTTCACCTCACTCACACATAATCACTGTTTTTGCAGAGGTGCCCAGAATACAACAGTTTAGAAGTATATACGTATAAAAATACACAATATATATCTCCAAACTGCCAATATTCCAGACCGCTCCTTTAGAATGCAGGCATTGTACATTCCATTTCCAGGACTCGAGTCCGGTTATATAAAATAACCGGTTTCCCTGAATCCCTTCACTAAATATTACCCTGCTCACACTCCAACAGATCGTCAGGTCCCAAATACCATTTGTCTCCATTGACTCCTATCTAACAGTCACGCACGCTTGCCGAAGTCCAAGCCCCTCGCCCACAAAACCTCCTTTACCCCCTCCCTCCAACCTTTTCGAGGATGACCCCTACCCCGCCTTCCTTCCCCTACAGATTTATACGCTCTCCATGTCGTTCTACTTTGATCCATTCTCTAAATGACCAAACCACCTCAACAATCCCTCTTCAGCCCTCTTGACTAATACTTTTATAAACTCCACACCTTCTCCTAATTTCCACACATTGAATTTTCTGCATAATATTTACACCACACATTGCCCTTAGACAGGACATCTCCACTGCCTCCAACCGCCTCCTTGCTGCAGCATTTACAACCCAAGCTTCACACCCATATAAGAGTGTTCGTACTACTATACTTTCATACATTCCCTTTTTTGCCTCCATAAATAACATTTTTTGCCTCCACAGACACCTGAATGCACCACTCACCTTTTTTCCCTCATCAGTTCTATGATTAACCTCATCCTTCATAAATCCATCTGCTGACATGTCAACTCCCAAATATCTGAAAACATTCACTTCTTCCATACTCCTCCTCCCCAATTTGATATCCAATTTTTCTTTATCTAAATCATTTGATACTCTCATCACCTTACTCTTTTATATGTTCACTTTCAACATTCTACCTTAACACACATTCCCAAATTCGTCCACTAACCTTTGCAATTTTTCTTTAGAATCTCCCATAAGCACAGTACTATGAGCAAAAAGTAACTGTGTCACTTCCCATTTTGTATTTAATTCCATATAATTTAATCCCACCCCTCTCTCAGACACCCTAGCATTTACTTCTTTTACAACCCCATCTGTAAATATATTAAACAACCATGGTGACATTACACATCCCTGTCTAAGGCCTACTTTTACCGGGATGTAGTCTCCCTCTCTTCTACACGCCCTAACCTGAGCCTCGCCATCCTCATAAAAACTCTCTACAGCATTTATTAACTTACCACCTATTCCATACACTTGCAACATCTGCCACATTGCTCCCCTATCCACTCTATCATATGCCTTTTCTAAGTCCATAAATGCAATAAAAACTTGCCTACCTTTATCTAAATACTGCTCACATATATGTTTTAATGTAAACACTTGATCTACACATCCCCTACCCACTCTAAAACAACCTTGCTCGTCTGCAATTCTACATTCTGTCTTGCCTCTAATTCTTTCAATAATACCCCTGCTGTACACTTTTCCTGGTATACTCGGTAAACTTATTCCTCTATAATTTTTACAATCTCTTTTGTCCCCCTTCCCTTTATATAACGGGACTATACACGCTTTACGCCAATCCCTAGGTACCTTCCCCTCTTTCATGCATTTATTAGACAAAAATACCAACCGCTCCAACACTGTCCCCCTCTGCTTTTAACATTTCTGTCATGATCCCATCAGTTCCAGCTGCTTTACCCCCTCTCATTCTACGTAATGTCTCGCGCACCTCCCCCACACTCGCATCCTGCTTTTCTTCACTCCTAAAAGATGATATACCTCCCTGGCCAGTGCATGAAATTACCGCCTCCCTTTCTTCGTTGACATTTAAAAGTTCCTCAAAATATTCTCGCCATCTACCCAAAACCTCCATCTTCCCATCTACTAACTCCCCTTCTCTGTTTTTAACTGATAAATCCATTTGTTCCCTAGGCTTTCTTAACTTGTTTAACTTGCTCCAAAATTTTTTCTTATTTTCATTAAAATTCCTTGACAGTACCTCTTCCACTCTATCATCCGCTCTCCTTTTGCACTCTCTTAATCTTTCTTTTACTCTCCATATACTCTACTCTTCTTACAACACTTTTGCTTTGTAAATACCTCTCATAAGCTTCCTTTTTCTCTTTTATCACACCTTTACTTCTTCATTCCACCAATCACTCTTCTTTCCTCATGCCCCCACCCTCCTATAACCACAAACTTCTGCCCCACATTCTAATACTGTATTTTTAAAACTATTACAACCCTCTTCAACCTCCCCACTAATACATGCACCAGCCCACCTTTCTGCTAATTACCTGGAGTTTACCTGGAGAGAGTTCCGGGGGTCAACGCCCCCGCGGCCCGGTCTGTGATCAGGCCGCCTGGTGGATCAGAGCCTGATCAACCAGGCTGTTGCTGCTGGCTGCACGCAAACCAACGTACGAGCCACAGCCCGGCTGGTCAGGAACCGACTTGAGGTGCTTGTCCAGTGCCAGCTTGAAGACTGCCAGGGATCTGTTGGTAATCCCCCTTATGTGTGCTGGGAGGCAGTTGAACAGTCTCGGGCCCCTGACACTTATTGTATGGTCTCTTAACGTGCTAGTGACACCCCTGCTTTTCATTGGGGGGATGTTGCATCGTCTGCCAAGTCTTTTGCTTTCGTAGTGAGTGATTTTCGTGTGCAAGTTCGGTACTAGTCCCTCTAGGATTTTCCAGGTGTATATAATCATGTATCTCTCCCGCCTGCGTTCCAGGAAATACAGGTTCAGGGACCTCAAGCGCTCCCAGTAATTGAGGTGTTTTATCTCCGTTATGCGCGCCGTGAAGGTTCTCTGTACATTTTCTAGGTCAGCAATTTCACCTGCCTTGAAAGGTGCTGTTAGTGTGCAGCAATATTCCAGCCTAGATAGAACAAGTGACCTGAAGAGTGTCATCATGGGCATCATGGCATCCCTCGTTTTGAAGGTTCTCATTATCCATCATGTCATTTTTCTAGCAGATGCGATTGATACAATGTTATGGTCCTTGAAGGTGAGATCCTCCGACATGATCACTCCCAGGTCTTTGACGTTGGTGTTTCACTCTATTTTGTGGCCAGAATTTGTTTTGTACTCTGATGAAGATTTAATTTTCTCGTGTTTACCATATCTGAGTAATTAAAATTTCTCATCGTTGAACTTCATATTGTTTTCTGCAGCCCACTGAAAGATTCGGTTGATGTCTCCCTGGAGCCTTGCAGTGTCTGCAATGGAAGACACTGTCATGCAGATTCGGGTGTCATCTGCAAAGGAAGACACGGTGCTGTGGCTGACATCCTTGTCTATGTCGGATATGAGGATGAGGAACTAGATTGGAGCGAGTACTGTGTCTTGTGGAACAGAGCTTTTCACCGTAGCTGCCTCAGACTTTACTCTGTTGACGACTACTCTCTCTGTTCTGTTAGTGAGGAAATTATAGATCCATCGACCGACTTTTCCTGTTATCCCTTTAGCACGCATTTTGTGCGCTATTACGCCATGGTCACACTTGTCGAAGGCTTTTGCAAAGTCTGTATATATTACATCTGCATTCTTTTTATCTTCTAGTGCATTTAGGACCTTGTCGGAGTGATCCAATAGTTGAGACAGACAGGAGCGACCTGTTCTAAACCCATGTTGCCCTGGGTTGTGTAACTGATGGGTTTCTAGATGGGTGGTGATCTTCCTTTCAAAGATTTTTATGATATGGGATGTTAGTGCTATCGGTCTGTAGTTCTTTGCTGTTGCTTTACTGCCCCCTTTGTGGAGTGGGGCTATGTCTGTTGTTTTTAGTAACTGTGGGACGACCCCCGTGTCCATGCTCCCTCTCCATAGGATGGACAAGGCTCGTGATAGGGGCTTCTTGCAGTTCTTGATGAACACGGAGTTCCATGAGTCTGGCCCTGGGGCAGAGTGCATGGGCATGTCATTTATCGCCTGTTTGAAGTTATTTGGCGTCAGGATAACATCGGATAGGATTGTGTTAACCAAATTTTGTGGCTCTCTCATAAAAAATTTGTTTTGATCTTCGACTCTGTCTGGTTAGCGGCTTGCTAAAAACTGAGTCATATTGGGACTTGAGTAGCTCACTCATTTCCTTGCTGTCATCTGTGTAGGACCCATCTTGTTTAAGTAGGAGCCCAATACTGGATGTTCTCGATTTTGATTTGGCATAGGAGAAGAAATACTTTGGGTTTCTTTCGATTTCATTTATGGCTTTTAGTTCTTCCCGCGATTCCTGACTCCTATAAGATTCCTTTAGCTTGCGTTCGATGCTTGCTATTTCTCTGACCAGTGTCTCCCTACGCTTTTCAGATATATTGACCTCTTTTAGCCGCTCAGTTATTCTTTTCCGTCGCCTGTAAAGGGAGCGCCTGTCTCTTTCTATTTTACATCTACTCCTTTTTCTTAGAGGAATAAGCCTTGTGCATACATCGAGTGCCACCAAGTTAATCTGTTCTAGGCATACGTTGGGGTCTGTGTTGCTTAGTATATCTTCCCAGCTTATATCGGTTAGGACTTGGTTTACTTGGTCCCACTTTGTTTTTGTTATTGAAGTTGAATTTGGTGAATGCTCCCTCGTGACTAGTCTCATTATGTCGGTCTGGGGCTCCACGCATGCATGTCTGAACCTCAATTATGTTGTGATCTGAGTATATTGTTTTTGATATGGTGACATTTCTTATCAGATCATCATTGTTAGTGAAGATGGGTCTAGTGTATTCTCCAGTCTAGTAGGCTCTATTATTTGCTGGTTTAAATTGAATTTTGTGCAGAGATTTAAAAGCTCG